CTGATAAGTAAATACTTGTAAGTAAAGCTGAAAAAATATTTTTATATTACTGCAGTGTAAATAYTATGGCTAAAATCAATGATTAGTCTATATAAATAATGCTTTTTTTGTTTTAGAAATACACAACATAATAGTTAAAAATTCAATTTTATATTTKAATCATTATTATTGACAGCGAATTACACTATATTGTCTACATTGTGTAGATTACATACTACATACTATAGTTTACATGTGAGTAGACTCGAGAGTCGATTATCCAACTGTTGGGGTATTGTGCATACTAAATCTACTTATGTTTATTTTTTTTTTTAAATATTTATTTTTGTTCTATATACCTACCTACATACAAACAAATTGAAATATATAATGATATCATWATGAGGGAAAAATGCCTGTTTTCGAATAAACAACTAAAAGTCTTAAATGCTTAACAAATTCAATATACATATATTAACAAGAACCTACCATCTGATTTTTTGTAAACTTAYTAATGTATGGCTATAGAATAATATGTGTAGAGTATCGCAGTATTTACAAGCTAATTGATCAATTTTATAGATCATTTAATGTTCAGTATAATTTAATTTTAGCTCACACTCTCCTTTGAAATTAAGCAAATGTTTGGTTGTTTGTTAAAAAAAAAAATTACCTAACTTAACATAATATAACCCTATAATTTTTGTTTTGATAAAATGTACTTACTACTTATCATTATTTTTTTTAAATACATAATCATGTTTGGGATTTTATTATGTAAATTATTGCTATGTTATATGCAATTTATTATTTAAGTTAATTTTATTTAATTTTATTTAATTTTATTTAAATATATTTTAATAATGATCAAAGTAGTGCTTATAATTTACATATCTATATTATTAAATAAATCTTATTTTGTTGTTATTTATTCGTCGTAGTGGGAAAGCTGAAAGATATATTTTTTTTAAAATGTAAAAATATTTTATTTTAATTGCAATATCGTCAACTAGAATAATACCTTCTATCGGTCGCCTTACAGTATTGCCAATTATTTTCCTGAAACCTGAGACCGTCGCTGAATATATAATTTTGTTGTACGCATTTTCCTTTTTCCCAAACTCCCTCAATTCGAGATCCTGACGAATAGTACAAAATGCCATCTCCGTGAAACAACCCGTCATCAAAATTGCCCTCATAGACAGTTCCTAAAAATCGGTTTGGCGATATTAGTGATATCGTTTCTGCTATGACCTCCCCTATAAATAGCTGTACTTTTATGGTGTATGCGTTGGGTGATGGGTGGGTGAGTTTGAAAACCGTGTCCTAAYTCTTAACAATACGGATTTMTTATTATTATACGCTCTGATTTGTGGTTCTGAAGAGGGTCGTTTTATAAAGCGAAGGTGCTGATCGTTACATATTATTGTGTTTTATAACTATCACAGTGACGTACAAAGTACCAAACGTAGACAGCTTGGGAGTGAATAATAATATTATGTTGTAATATTTTAATAAAGCATACCTATAGCCATATTTTATTTAATAAGACACATTTCCCATCKTAGCAACCATTACCTTATATTATGTTRATATTTACGACTGAATATACAACAATTAATGTTATTTTCAATAACGAATAATCTAATCCACTAACAATAACGGTTAGGTGTACGTACGCCGATGTGCATGTAAGTAGGCAAACAGTTATGGTTCATTTCCACCAAGTGTTTTAAGTGATTACCATTTTGCATAAYATACACTCCATTTCCGGACATCGTTCTGTGATTCCATTTTCCTTTATAATGGTTTCCTGTTCCAATTGGAATCCATTGGTTGTTTGGGTGCAACTGACGTTTCGCACGATTTTTTATTTTTCTTCTTGATTTTTTTTCAATGCAGATCATTTTTGTTAAAACTAATAAACTATTTTTTCTATTATACTAGCAAAAAATAAAAATAGTTAATAATTGTAATAACTTTTATATTTAGTAACCATAGTGTTTGATTAGATTGCATTCATATGACCAATTTGATCAATATAATATATTATATACACATTACACAATATATACAGGCTAGTTCACCAAGCATACTCACGCTCAATATTTTATTCATCAATAATGCAGTTATTTAGAATTTGCTTTTTTAATTTTTTAATATACTTAAATATTATGTTTTTAAATTCTTGATATATCTYGTATCACTTAAGGAGTGATCTCTGGGGATATAAATTTATTTTTTTCAAATGAGAACCCCCCCTCCCCTTTTAACTGAAAAATTGTTCCATGAATAATTTTTATAAAAAATTTGAGATATCAGAATAAAAATTCGTATGGATAGTTTTTGAGAAATTTAATTGAGTGTCCTAAGGATAGCCATGGTAATGAGCTTATAGGATGTGGGATTCTAGGGGCTAAGATGGTTTGAAAATTTTAATCCCTAGTATTAATATGTTAACATAGATTATTTGTAATAATTTTATATTTTTTTAAAACTATTTTTAAAGACTATCATTATCATTCTTAKTAAAAGTATTTGAATAACTAACAAATTGCCCATCCKAATTTTKAATTAGATAGGTACATCAACATAAAAAAAAA